TTCATTCAGTATACAAGTGAACCAAAAAAAAAAAAAAAAAATGCAGCAAAGACATCTACATCACTCTGTTGTTGACAAATGTCAAATATAAACAGACCTCACAATAATTCGCATCTGGGTAAAGGGAAGTGGGAAAAATAACCATGAGCAATTTATAAGGGAAATGGAACATCCAGCAGACCTACTAGAGGATAAAACAATGTGAGGTCCCCCAAACAGGAGCACAAAGCCCTAAATAAAAAACAGGATTTAATAAAAGGCCCAGAAGAGGGATGAGATGAAGAAAGATACCAAGAAAATTAAAATCACAATAGTGAGATTTGAAATCTCTACTCCTGTAATAAAACTGAATCAAGCAAAAAACACAAATCATGACATGAAGAACTCAAGAAACTCTCACTAAAGCACACTGCAACCTGAACTAGCCACATTTCAAGTGCAATATTCATATATAACTAGCGGCTATGGTATTGGACAGCGCAAAGGTTTAGAGTGATTCTGTCTAGCACAATGTCACACAGCTAGTTAGTATAACTAAAATGCAACCTTATTTCTAACTCCAATGCCTATATTCTTTCCCTTTAAGGAAACTATCAAAGCTAAACATACACCTGACCCTCAAGTATTCAATTCAGACCAACAAAATTATGACTGGAGTGTGAAACTTAGTAGGTATTCAAATGAACAGTTCATAAGCCGGGTTTTTTTTTTTTATTTATATAACGCCATTACATAAAACAAATGCCCATTTATATAATGCCATTATATAAAACAAATATCAGTTTCAAAAAAAAAAAGTCAATTTTAATTATTGAGGTCTATTATGTACACAAAGTATACTTTATGCATATAACATTTATGTATGTTATAACCACTTCTTGTTTTGGGTACTGAAAAATCATAGATACTATAACCATAATCAATATCAATCTACACATTTGATACATCCTTATCATCTATAAAGTATCTCTGTAGTGTTTGAAAATTCTGGATTATTTATGAACTACTTAATAGAACGGAACATATTGGTTTCCTCATGAAAACATACTAAATTCATGTAATACCACTAATATAAATTAAAGCATTAATTAAATACAGCATATATTTCTTACTGCCCATGGCCATGTCACCCAGAAACCTTTAAGTTATCTCAGGCTCTCTTTTCCTCCTACTTTTGCCCCATATTTAGCCAACCACCATTTTCTGTGAAACTTAATAGTTTAACACCTCTTAAACCAACCACTTTTCTCCACTAATTTATTTCATTCTCCACTATCACCACTGTGGTCCAAGCCAATATATTCTTTGTGACCCAGACCCTCTTAACTTGTTATCCTCCTGCTTCTCACCATCCAGTAAATAATCACTGCAACCAAAGTGATTATTTAATTTTTTTAATTTAAAATCATGTCATTTTCTTGCTTTTATTAAAATCCTTCAACAACTTCTCTTAGTATTTATGACAAAGACCAAAATATTTAACTACAAATTCTCTAGAATCCTGATTAGAATTTGCAAACTCAACAACAACCAGGTTAACTACTGATTTATTTATGTTTACTTATTTCACACTCCGAGTAGCGCTGGGTTGTGGCTTGAACATTACCACCTAAAAATAAATTCTATGTTGCCATAACCTCTAATTTTTCAAGAGAAATAAAAAATCCAGAGTTTTACATAAAACCTCCTGATCTGTGAATGCTGACAAGTAATTGAAACTTTTATAACAACAATAAAGAGGCCAAAAAACTTGTAACCAGGCCAAACCTGACCTCTCACCTAGTCTCATCACCTAGACCCACACACTCTACATCAGCCATATTTAACGCTTCTCAGATCCTCAGTGATGCCAAGCTTTTTTACCTTATGGCTCTCACATATGTTGTGTCTTCTGCTTTGACCATTCTTCCCGTCAATCCCCAATTCTACTTCACTGATCTCCTACTCATCTAAGTTTCTGAGCCACACTTCCTCAATGAAGTCTTCCTTATTTCCACTGCCCCTCCACCCCCACTGCATAGACTAGCTCACCCATTATGTGCTCTGATAGCACTGAATACAACTTCATAACATTCATCACACCTCAAAAACAAAATTATTTAATGCCCATCATCTCTCCTTAGATGAAGGTTCCATAAAAGCAGTGCCTGCCACAGTAGGCATACATTTACTGCCAGCCAGTTTGGGTCCTTTAGACAATAAGATTCTAGTATGCTTTTAAATATTAATCAAACTGTACCCAACTTTTCAGAAAATATACAATATTTAAAGCAAAGTAGATTCCGAATAAAAAAAATCCATTACAATTATAATCACTAATGATATTAATAATAATAGTTAACATTTATTGATCATTCACTAAACGCTAGGCACTATGCTGAGTGCTTTGCATGCACTATCTCTTTCAACACAACAATCTGTAAAGTAGGTATATACCACTGTTATACAAAGGAAACAACGTAACATAGAGTTTAAAAACTTCTCAGTATCACAAATCTTATCAGTGGCAAGCTATGTATGAATCTATACAGTCTAACTCCATAACTTAAACACCAAATTATTATACCCTAATCTATTAATAAAGAAATATTAACTAAACAAGTATCTCTTAAATACTGGAAATAAAAAATGGTGGCCATGATTTATTTTGCATTACTTGTCAGCTAAAGGACATTCCTCAGCGCTCTATCCTGTACCCTTAAACACACACACACACACACACACACACACACAATTAAGATAAATTGTAGATTTGTTTTTTTCTAAATTAGGTAAGTTCTGACCAAAACCCAAAATATGTATGATCTTAGTACCAACTGTAAAAACGCTACTCTTCTGAATTATTTTTAAATAAGTTAATGTTTACATATTTGATGTTTTCTGTTTCCACATTTTAAACATACACTTAATTTAAAATGTATTTCCTTGCTCAAAGTAGAAGAAAGTGTATTACTAGAGACTCTTTTCTGATATAGTAAACAACAGCAAATAATATGCTAAAGCAAATGTAAACTGATATAACCACAGAAACATACAGAGATAACACAAGGATCCTTTGCTATCTGAACTCTATTTGAATTCTCTTTTTCCAAAACTCAGGAACCGAACAGATTCCAAAAAATGCATTGGAATCTATCCAGACTCACTTGTATCACTTGCTATCCAGACACTTAGCATGCAGAACTTAAGAGTATGGCTCACAAACCACCCCTTGCTATCAGAACAATAACCAAACTCTCATTCCAAACTCAGGAACCCAGTAGTGTTAGATAGCTAAATACATACGCACATATATCCAAGGGTTTTATAAATTTAAGAATTCCTGTTTAAACTATTTATATAGACTTTTAAAAATGTGAATAAAAGGCACATATCTGTATTTTCATTCAGATTTCATATTTTAACTCCATTTACTGAAAATTTTTGTGTAAATGTCTTTAAACTAAAATGTGGTCATATTATTTTAAACTTTTAGACCATGCAAAGTGAGCTTTTTAAACTCCTTACTACATGACAGATTACTATTCATAATAGAGCTAAATAATGTTAATGTCAATGTGTGGCTGCTATGAAACAGCTCTAAAACTAGTCTTAACACTTTTTTTCAATATATTTCATAGGTAATACAAATACCATGGGAAATAAGATTTTCAAGGAAAATTATTTTCAGTGTTCATTTTTCAGTAACATATTTCACAGATCATATTAGAGTTCTTAAAATCACAACAAGAGAAGGGCAAAATTAAAGAAACAAATCCAAGAGTACAGAAGTTGAAAATGGCAAAAAATCCAAATTAACTTAGTTACAAAAGAATGGCATGAAACAATATTAGAAGTAACTACTCCCAAAGTTCATCCAAAAGTCAAACACACGAGTAATGAATTAACTAGGTTGAGAAAAAAGAAACACCAGTTCTCATTAAAACAGTGCATTTCCCCAAATATTTAATGTAGGCTCACATGAGAGCCTAAGCTTTTTGTGTGCTTGACAAAAAAGTTAAAACTATCATCAAATGGGAACTGAATTCAAGAACATGATTTTTTTTCCCCACATACTCAACAATTATTTTAAGAAGCAGGGAAAACATGACAGGTTTAAGAAAAGTCAACTACTTTCCCAAACTCTTTTGAGTACAAATACAAAAATCATAAAAATTTTAACTAGAGCACCCATTTTATCCTAGTTTGGCTATGCTCTCCCCAGAGCTCAGTTTAGATTTGATCATCTGAAAGCAAGTGAACCCGTTAATCAAACAAATTCTAATAGTTGCTTGACACAGGCCATCTATTACCTTAAAAAAGAGAATCAGTAAAATTAAATTTTACAAAAATAAATCTTGTCTACAAGCCTCACAACGTGCAATAACTTAGGATTCAATGATACCTTTTAACTTAACTGATTTCACATGGAGCACCAACACGTACTCAAAAAAGAACAAAAAGCAGGATATTTTCACGTTAAGAAATGACAGTTATATTTTGCCCACGTTTGTCATCCTAAAAAGCTAAGATTCACTGCTAAGCTTCAACTACAAGCCAGAAAATGAGAGCCCTGTGGGATAGCAAACCCAAAAGAGCTGTCAAGGTTCAATGCATTGCTTTCACATGATGGCACAATGACTGACTGCAACATATTCTTAATAAATACAGGCACAGCTTATGTCACCATTTCTTTAGGTTAAGTTTTCATACCTCCCTTCCCAGATGTTCACATTAAACACAACTCTGAAAGCAAATGTTTCTCTTATATAAAACCAAAAAGAGGAACGACTTAGGACTCTAAGAACTTTAAACTGCTTAGTACATGACAGATTACTATTCATAATTGAATAGGATCCAGTCTATGGTTTTATTCCGTCAGTCTTGAATTAATACAATTCTTACGACTCGAAAAATTACATTTTACTGCAAGAAAAAAAAAAAAAAAAAGACAGATTCGATCCAATAACCGTACCTTGCTCTGCCAAATGTTAGTACCAGAACTTCTGAAATAAACAAACCTGTGTCTATGTTCATCGGGTCCATGGATCAGGAAGACTCCAGGGTTTTTAGCCCCTTTACCGGCATCTACATGTGGAATCAACACATCTTCTAAACCCAAATCAAAGCGTTTGTGTTTTGAAGAGTCTGGAAGGAAAAAGAATGCCCCAAAACACAGGGTGATGAAGGCACTAAGGATAAGGAGAAGAATAAACTTCTCAGAAAGTCTCAAGGTAGCCCTGTGATGTGGGAAGGAGGGTGGCCCCAGGTTCAGAGGTGGTATCCTACGTCCAGAGAGGGGCAGCAGGGCTGGGGTAGTCATCGTTTACGCTCTTGGACAGAATACTTTAGAAAGTTCTCATCTTACACCAAATGTACAATACATTGAACTGTCTTCAAAATCTTGGCAGAAATGGGAAAACTCAATTTCGCTCCTCTTAAAGGACTGTTGTGCTTTTTAAGTGGGCACCTCTTTCACGCCCATTTCCACTCAGAAGCATGTGTGACCTCCCCTAAAAGATCACAAGTTTATGACCGGCGACATCCTCTGTAACATGTGTGCTTCATCGGGTTATTACAAGCCTTCTCTTCTTTCCTAGGGGTAGATCAGGCAAGCCACACTGCAGAAAAGCTGCAAGGTGGGTCCTTCCATTCCTGCACCTCAGTGAGATGCACCAATGTAGTCTTCCGCCCCGAAAGGGAGCCTCGCGACATCCGAGGAACTGTGGAAGGTTCACTTGATCTCCTTCGACGCTTCTATTCCAGAATCTCTTCACCTCCGCCGTGGAAAAAATGAGGGTCTCCCACGGACCTCTGCGAACAGGGAGGACGGTCTCCCACCTCGCCGGGAAGCCGAGGCAGCAGCGCTGGGCGAAGTCGCAGGAAGGAGTTCTCGGCCGCCTGCGCTTCCCTGCGCTGCCCGGCAGGAGCCCGGCGCCCGGCTGAGCTCCGGCGCTGCCCACTCGACGGCTGGCGCGAAGGGCAATCGCCTCCGGAGTACCTGAGCCCGGCCAGCCACCGCGGCCGCCGCCGCTGTTGCTACCGCACGGGTCTGTCAGGGAGCGGAACTTCCTCCTCCGGCGGCCACTGAGAAGCCCCGGCGTGTACGGCGGGGAGGGGACGCGCGGCGACCGCCCCCGCCCGGCTCCTCCTCCTCCGCCTCCTCCTCTCCGTGGCGGGTTGTGAACCCCGGCGCCTGCTCCCCGAGCTAGGCCACCGGCCGCAGCGGCCGAACCCCGCGCATCCGCGGCATGGGAAGAAACCGAGCCGCGGCCCACGCTCCGAGAGCCCGGGGCAGGCGCCGGCTCATTCCCCGTTCAGCCGTGGGACGGCGGGAGGCCCGGGGCGCGCGGGAGCCGCCGCGCCGCTGGCGGACAGAGGTCGGCCGTGTCTCCTTTCCGCCCGGCCGCGGGGGCCTCCGCCCCGCCTCCGGTGGCTCGCGGCTGCTCGCTCTGGCGGCGGCTGCCGGAGAGGCAGCGCGCCCACGCCGCGCGGCGCTGCGGCCTGCTCCTCGTCTCCTGCCTCCCCGGGCCTGGTGAGCGCAGCAGCTGCTGAGCCCACACGCGTTGGGCGCACGCCAGAGAGGAACGGGAGGGCTGGGGCGACGGGGCGATGGGGCGCGGGCCGGCCTACCCGCCCCGACTCGCGAGTGGGCGTCCCCGGGCGATGGAGTGTGAGGTGCGCGCGCACGCTCCTGGCCCCGCCGCCGCCCCTCCCCCGCCCCGCCCGGCCGACCGGCCGCCCGGCCCTCCGGCCCACGCTCGGGCCTCGTGCCCCTGCCGGCTCCGGCAGCCCGGAAGCGTCCTGCTGCTGCAGCCGTCTGAGCGCGAGAGAGGAGGACGGCGCGGATCCGCGTTGCCCCGAGAACTTCACCGGTGCCCAGGGCCTTGCCACCGCCAGTTCGTGGGGTTGACCCGGTGTTTGGACGAGAGGGAGCGAGGGCTTGGGTCGCGAAGGTTTCCCTGAAATTAAGGGTCGCTGGAGTTAACGGCTTAGGTTAACGTTTAGTGTGGCTCTGTGAAGTCTTGTCTTCAATTATAGACCATCAGGCCCCAGGATTCAGCAACAGGGTCTCAAACTTCCATGCAGCCCATGCTCACGTTGTTGGGCGCCCGAGGTTCCATTAATGGACAGAGAGAAAAACATGTGCCAGGTTCCGTGTTAAAAGGGTGACCCTGCTCCTTAAGCTGGGCGTTTTTTCGGAGGAATCTAGGTACCCCCGATATGACAGACGCCTCCTCATGGTTCAGTGTCTGGGGCCCGTTCTGTCATCTTCACGCTCCTCACCACCACCCCGCCCATAAAAGAGGTAATAGGGACGAATGAGGAGGTGCTGAAACCCAAAAAGGCAGCATTATTGTTTACATTCAGCCTTAAAAACAATCTGAATCAATTCTGCTCTCCATAGTATTGAGAAGAGCCATGTTGTGATTAAGTGCAAAAGATTTCCTTGCAAGGTACGTAGACTCTTGCATCTGATTTACTTGCAGATTGTTTAGTTCTAATATTGTCATTTCCTGTACACATCCTTTACTGATGACTGGGAATTGGAGAGGAGGCCCTTAAATGTCAGGAGAGTAAAAGTCAGCCTTTGCTTAAAAATCAGGCAAAAAAGTCTCAGGTTGATTGGTACAATTCATAATTACATTCCAGTCTCCCAGTCTGCACTATTTCTAGAAGCTTTGCATATCTAACTGCCTACCACATGACAAAAGAAGTCATTGTCACTGACCCTGCTTCACCAAATAAAAAGTAAAAATGTTGAGGGCCACCTCTCACCAGTTCACCAAGGGAGACTGGTTAGCAAGAAGTGTCCAGTCCCTGTTGAGATTTGTGTTGGACAGTTGTGAAGAGTAGATGTAAGAAACTTTATGCCTTCCCAATGTGTCTTTATAAAATGTGCCAAATTTAAGAATAAGTCTCTAATGTTGAGACTCTGTAAGTCAAAGAAAAGGGAACACACTTTTCCTACTGTTGAGGTCATTATTTTCCGTGAAAAGTTCAGGGGAAATAAATATTGAACTCTGAATGAAATAGCAAGTTATATAAATCTTTAAAAGTATTACCTAGGTTGACACCAAACTTAGCCACAAGAGATGTCAATCATGAAACCTGACATAACCTAGTTGACAAGTGTGACTTAAGTAAGACCTCATGGCTGATGGAGAAGCCTCCTTTTTCTTTGTCTATTTTGCAAAATTCATTTTTACTTCATGAGAGTAAAAATGTAAATTAGGGGTTATTACAGATATCCAAATGCAGTCTGCAGTTTTAAAGTCATTGATAACCAGTTATTACACGCCCTATACCAGCACCCAAAATATTGTATACATAGTATTACAAACTCTTCTCAAGACAAGTCTGAGCTTTTAAAGAATCATATTGTTTTAAAAAAGCAGGTTGCAAATATATTCATTAATTGTGATTACATGCACTTAAAAACAAAAAACGGAATATTTGAAAAAGATTGCAACTGATCTGTTAATATCATGTAATCAGATTAATATGTAAACAGATTAATCATCTGTTAATCATATGTAATACTGGTATTACATATGATTTTCTCCATTGTATACTGTTGTATTATATTTACAATTAAATAAATGTTATAAAGGAACTGGTACCTGAAAAAGTTAAGGTCAGATTTCAAATAGGTGGACTCAGTGGTATCAAGATGAACACATAGGCCGGCCCATCTTAGGGCAGTCAGCAGAAACACTATGTGGCCTGTTTTATGTGTGTGTGTATGTGTGTATACACTTAACAACAGGGAAGGATCATTCCAGATAATCTAAAGAGAATATTTCATTTGCAAAGAGCAGTTAAGCTTTGATCAGATTCCAAAGTGATGATTTCCCTTTTACAAATCCATATAAATATTTTAGAATTAATAAATTACTAATGAACTTTACTCCTACACATTTAAAGGACCATTCCTAAGATCCACTCATGTATTGCAATGTGAAAGTTACTTGTATTTGGCCAGGCGCAGTGGCTCATGCCTGTAATCCTAGCACTTTGGGAGGCCGAGGTGGGTGGATCACCAGAGGTCAGGAGTTCAAGACCAGCCTGGCCATGATGGTGAAACCCTATCTTTTAAATTAAAAAAAAAAGAAAGTTACTTGTATTTGTTCAACCATATGTTGACTTTTCTATTATTGAAACCATTTGACACCTGTTATGTATACACACACACACACACATATATCTAGCTCTGTTTTAAGTGAAGCTGAAGTAATGTGCTACAGGAAAAAAAAAAAAATACAGCTGGTATGCAAAAAGAGGCTTTTGATTTACTTATGTAACCTGTTCCAACTAGTGCCCAAAATGTCTAAGGAAGATGGTAGAGGAGAAATTACTGGACATGACCACTGAATGTGTAGGGAAATAGCAGGCTTCCGCCCTGCTCCTTCCACTCTTGCTTTCCTCTATGAGGCATTTTCCCCAGAGGTCAGGGGTAAACTGAAGTTCAGTGCTATGAAGCCCTCAAGTTAGATTCATGAAAGTCAGCAAACTCAAAAAAGCTTGGCTGCCTCTCCTATCCAAAGTACTTGAGGCTCATTTGCTTATAAAAGACTCATTTGTTGGAGGACTACTATTTGACAAATCCTGTACTAGGTGTTAGGGATTTGGAGAAGTAAGTCAGAATCCTTATGCTCAGTGAGCTTGCAGTCTGGTGTGGAGAAATAGATGAACACTGGCAATTACAAGACAGTGGGAAGAATGCTGTTGGGACAAAGCATCATGGGCTTTGCGGAAAGAAACGCTGAAGGGGCACCAGAGTGAGGAGGTGGACTGGGATCCAGCGTCACCTGAGCTGAGCCTTTAATTAACCATAAGAGAAGGGTCACGCTCCAGCTTAGGTAGCAGAACATGCACCGGCACCCATAGCTGGTTCTTCCTGTCATTTACCCAGAACAATTCCTGCTCTGCTCTTGCAGTAAATAGCTTGTCTGGCCCTAATCTCCCAACACTCTTGAGCTGGCAAAGTGAAAATGGTGGGGCAGTTCTATTATATTGCGAGTAAAATGGGTTCACAATAACTAATGGGTATTGTCAACGTGTGTCTGTTATCAAAGACATAGATGGTATATTTGTGCTTTCACAGGCAGTACTCTCTTATTTCAGGCAATGCTTTACTTCTTTAAATCCGTTAATAAAGTGGAGCTCTTTAAATGTGTATGAGTACTGAACTAGGAGTCAGAAGACACAGATTTCAAACCTAGCTCTACTCCTGAGTTTCCTTATTTATAAAACGTAATAGTCCTTACCTATTTTATAGGACTGTTTAAGGATCAAATGAGTTATTGTTTCTAAAATGCTTTAAAGACTTGTTTGTTCTATTCAGAATAATAGGCTGCTGATGGTTGTAGTGTTTGTGGCTTGGAAACATGAAATTTCAGTTTGCCTAGCATCCATTTAGAAAACTATCTTTTCCTCGGTCTTAGTCTGTGGGTCTAGATTGGGATGACCTCTCAACCACCCACCATAGCACTCGCTCCCGCAATCAGCTGGATCCAGGGATGTTACTCAGATTTGACTAACTTGTACTCTACATTTCCCTGGCCATATGATTGATTTGGAGAAGGGCAAGTGACTCAAACCAAGCTAATCTGAACCTTCCTTAGGTTATTTCCTGTTGTCATCAACAAACGTGGCATCTCTTTTCCATAGAATTACCAGCCCTGAGCGTGCTATAACCTTAGAGCTGCCAGTGGCCTTCTTGCCACCATGGGGGGAAGTTCACTACTAACGGAGCAAATGTAAGCAAAGAGCTGAGACACTGAGAGGGAAAGTTTCCACACGGTATCAGTTGAGTCCTTGGCACAGGTGGATCTGGGTCTTGTGGGGCCTGAAGCATACGTAATTTGAGGCGTCCTCTTTAAGAAAAATAATAGAAAATGAATTATAAAAGTGCATTTTGCTAAACTGAATGCTGTCACAAGTGAGTATGTCTTAATAATGCTGAGACCACACCACCACCAGCCAACCCGTGTGACCAATGGAGCAGTGTGATGGATAGGAAATCGGAGTAGAAAAGAAGCCACGATCTTAACCAGTCATGATTGAAATATTTTATTTTTACAAGATTTAGAAAAACATGATATGTAAACACATTGCTAGGCTCTCCCAGAGCCCAAGCCAGGACCAAGCAATTAGTAATCCAGAA